TGTTATGTCAAGTTGAGAATGAAATAAAAATTTATATCGTATTTTGGTATTCTTGAGATTGCGTTCTCATTAATATCATCCCACTCGTACGCTTCCCCTACATTAGTTGGTATCAGCAGTCAGTACGATTCGCGATGTCGCCGAGACGACAAGATGCAGCAAACAAACAATGTGATGCAACCTTCAACGATCAGTTTCAACAGATTGACTATCGATTTCAAGAGTTGGATGTGCATTTCACGAATTGGTTTTTCGATCTTTCGACGGGTATCGAGGATTTGCATTTGACGCTTAACAACGTGGTTGTTTCGGAATTGTAAATGAACCGCGATGGGGATGTGGGTCGTGGCTTTCACGGGGGAGACAGAGGCGGTTGTGGGGGACGCAACCATGTCGGTGCACCCCGAAAGTGGTCCCCGTCACCTCTGAACGGCTTCGTGGACGGCGACGATCAACGCAGCGACATGGGCTGGAGCGAGGAGGCAGCCTTCGCTGGCGGATATCGTGCCCGACGGGATTGGAGACTTGTTCGCGAATATGGTCATTGGGAGGGCCCATTTCGCGTCGACATCCCTGAATTCGACGAAGAGCATGTTGACGGGCCATTGTACGATGGTCCGCCTGTGTTTGATGAAGGGCCCGAAGAGGTCGAGGAGCGTCTTACCGACGAAGTGGACGGTCTCTACGACGGTCTGCCTATTTTCGATGAAGAGCCTCTGGGGCCCGAGGTGACGCTTTCTGATTTTGGCTTGTGTAAGCCACTGGAAAAATATTCATTCATATTACTAGAGGTTGCTGATTTTATTGCTCCGTATTCTAAAAATGAGCACCACGAAAATTTGGGCACAGAAAATGCGCTACAATAGTGGAAACGCAATCATCGTTCATTAGCATGTCGCAAGATAATAAATTGGAGACCATGTTTGAAGTTCCTTGAAGAACCAAATATGTTTATGAGGCTAAAGATTAGATCCTCCATTTTTTATGTGAAGTTGAGCGATATTCAACCTTCGTGTTCGACCGGGGAAAATGACGGGGTTTGCTACCATGAGTTCGACACCACACGCCGACCACGGGAGCGCATCGGCTTCGAGGGCGAAGTCTTCCTAACTGGAGGAGAATGGTGTAGAATAATATTAGTATTATTGTTATTGCTACTACTACTACTACTATTATTATTATTATTATTATTATTATTATTATTATTATTATTATTATTATTATTATTATTATTATTAGTTATCTTGGATAATA